GGATCGTGTGGTGTGTTGTGGGGTGGGGGGGGGGTACGCAGGTAGTCACATGTATACCTTCTCAAAGGGCAGTTTAATTGCTCACTTAAATACTGTATGAAGAACGCATTAAGATCTATGAATAAAACATTATTGAGGTCAAACTTAATGTTTTCGAGATCATAGAAAACAAAGGTTTTCCTGTCCCTGCCTGATACTTATAAAGAGTCTAAAAACTGCCTTCACTTTTGCCTGGAAAGCTATCACAGTGCATTAGTGTCATTCAGCCCTCTGAAAAGACTCAAATACTTTGAGTTCTTTAGGTTTATAAACAGCTTTTGTTTCCTGATCTTGGTCTTTAAGTGGTTTCTCTTTCTTCCTGGCCTGACAGGCACTGTTTAAAGCTGGGGAGTTGTTCTTTGGTTTCTTTGCCAGAATACATGGTGCTGATGCTTGTATGAGTGTAGTGCGAGCGTGTTGCTTGGGAGCTGGGGATTATGGCTATTTTCAGTGTGTTAATCCCAAAGGAATCGGGCAGCACCAATCTTATCCTCTGTCTGAAGTGCCTGAATTTCTTCCAGAAAAATAAAACCAAAAAAAAAGCAGTGGTTCTAGATATTTAACATCCTACTTTTAGATCTACTGAAAATAATAGCTGTGTAGCATGGACTCAGAAGGGATTTTCTGATTTTTTTTTTTATGTTTTTCCTTGCCCACCTCATAGAGAATCTTTCTTTTGTGGAAGAGGAACACAGCCCTTTATTCACCCGTCCTCCTCTAAGCCCATCCCATCATCTTTCCCAAACTGTTAAGACATAGTAATTCACCCCCGTAGGGAGCCACTTCTTGACAAACAACTTGATGTAAATGTTTCAAATTCTTTTGGTTTATTTGCTGCTGGCTCTCTTAAGATCTGAGACTCCACCAGAGAAATTGTTCTTGGTTAACTGGGTCTCTTCGTTAAATGTCTCTTGGAAAATTGATTGTCATGCAAACTTAACTTCTCCTAGACAGAGCAAAACCCTGCCAAAAATGCCTTTTCTTTTTCTTCAAGCTTGTAGGAGATCCTCTTCTTAGCCATATCTTTCATATCATCTGCCCTTGCAGGCAAGGCTTTTTTTCATGGAACTTAATTTTGGATAACTCCTCAAGGAATCCCAAAACTTGTGTGGCTTTATGCTGCTGAGAAATTTCTGAGGAACAGACAGACTGCAAGAAAGTATCAGATTTAAGTTAAAGAATTCCCAAACTTAGGCTCAATACTGAAATGCATCATTTATCAAGGCATTATGCAAGTGGTTTTGGTTTTACTGCTCTATAAATGAAAACTGGACATGTTAGACTAAGTTTTACATCAAGATACATTTTCCTTTTAATGTAAATCTGTCACATTTGAATCCATTCATAGACTATATTTGATATATTATGAAATCTCATTAATTACATTTTCACCAGTTGTCACAACCGTTTAAGTTCTCATAGTAATTGTTTTTCTTTATTTTCCTTTTTAAATAACAGCATTACTGTGCTGGGGATAAGTTTGGGGGGTTTTGTTGTTTACAGAAGCTAACACATTCACTGCTGTGGAATGTGACAAACAGTGGACCTGATTTCCCCTCACAGTGATGTAACACCACCGATTTCAGTGGAGTTTCTCCTAGATTTAGCCCCATTTGAGGGGAGACTCAGACCCAAAGTCTGCTTTGATTCCATCCATGTTTTGTTACGAGTCACTATTACAAAGGGTACGCCAAATCATTTGTCTCCAACTTAGCATTGTTTTCGTTAACAATCAAAAGTGGATTCCAATTTCATATGTAACATTTCATATACGTTTGGTCTTTAGTATGCTGGATTATGACACGGAGAACCTAAATTCTGATGAAATCTACAGCTCTCTTCGTGGAGTCACAGAAGCAATTGAAAAATTTAGTTTCCGTAGTCAAGAGGACCTGAATGAACCAATCAAACGTGATGGAAAGAAAGACTGTGACATTGTAAGTATTCAATTGATTAATGTCCCCACATAGGTGAAATTATAAAATACTGTGTTCAAACCTCGCTTTGAGTTGTTAGTGTACAAAATGCAGTTATT